AAATGTGAGAGAATATATGTATATTGTTTTAAGGAACAGAGTTTGTAGTAACTTGTTATGAAGTCCTAGAAAATGCATAGAGGAATAAAAATAAAATATGTGACAGAAGCTTATGGCACATTACTAATGGTTTCAACCATAAAACCATGCAACAAATATTTATTGAGTATCTACTATGTACCTCACTACTCTAGGAAAACACACAGAGAACCCTGCACTCATGGTGTTTATTTTCTAGCAATATGTTGGTCAGAGAAACCAGTTTATTTGAAGTTTCTTTAAACTTTAACTAAGGTGTTTGCATCTGTACTTACGTCGGAACCAAAGGTTAAACACAGCTGGTAGTAATGATGTCACTCAGACCACAAAGATTATGGAATCACTGGGGAAACACTCTCCATAGAAGATAAATATTCTAGATTTCCAAATGGGAGTATTATTTCTTAATGAGGAAAATAAAACAAAGACATTTTCGATTTTATGACCTTCAGCGTTCTATTGAGCACTTGGGATAGATAGGAATTGTCCACTTGGCTGCAAGGCAACATTGATTTCCTCTGAGCAAGGGGCTGGTAAAATGGAACAGTATTCCAGCCAGGAAGAAAAATAAATCAAGTAACTTTTTCCAAAACTTGTTTTTATACAATACTTTAAAATATGTTTTTTGCACTTTTGACAGGTGCTATTGATTAACTGGCGAAGGGGACTAGTTGACAACTAGACAAATGAACATACAACAAACTAATATTAAAGGAAAGATTTGATTCAAAAGCCTCTGTGTGTGTGTGTGTGTGTGTGCGCGCTCTCTCATGGGTGTGCACACTTGGATTTGTAGACTTGAGTTTTTGAGACACAAGTTTCCTGACTATCTGGGACTACTACTGCACACTGCGGCAACCAGTTAAGTTTGTATACCTGTGATTATGATAATCTATTGTCTTTTGTGCTATATCAATTTAATTAAGTGGTCTTAATGAGTATCAACTTAAAATAGCAAAACATAATTTTGTGCTCACATATTATTTGGGTAATTAGACTACAACATACCTATATTTCATTATATTCTGCAAAATCTCTTTGGCTGCTAAGTGATCTCTCTAACACTAAAATTCTGAGGCCCTCCGGGTTACCATCAATCAACAAGCAGAACAAATGAAATACTGGGCAGGCAAACCAAATGGTGAGAAATCAAATCCTACAGAGCTAAAAATTTGGTGATTACAGATAAATCAGAAAACTTTTTTATATTTCAACATGTCAGTATTAAACTATAAATGTAGTGGACTTACACAAATTTGACTTGGCAAAGAAAACCAAAAAAAAAACCAAAAAACCCAGAGTAGCAACCTTTAAAAGTGGCACCTGCCAGGAGGTCAAGGGTTGTGTGTTTTCTTGCATATGTGGGAGCTAGAGAGGAAAAAAAGGAAAAGAAAGATGGTGTGGGAAACTAAAATAAATAAATAAATGAATAAAGGCGGGAACTAAAAAAAAAATTAGCACCTGCCATTCCACTAATTAGGGGTAAGCCCTGAGGTCAATGTGAGGTGGAGATCTTAGATCCCTTAGCTCCCTGTCCCTGCATAGTGTGTGTGTGTGTGTGTGTGTGTGTGTGTGTGTGTGTGTAGCTTAGTTGAATATAATTCTTGTGTTGAAAGTTACACAATTTTTTATACACTATGTTCTCTGATTCCAAGTCAGCTACTGTCACTAGCTTTAACCAGATTTTAATTTAACTACTGCATCATATGGCAGTTTTGAAGTCTTATAAGTCTTATTTAACTATAGTAAATTTCTTGAAAGGGATACAGATTGTCTTTTAGGAATGATTGGAGGGATTTTTTTCAAAAGAAAATTGATTCTGGAATTTCTATCTCATATAGAATCTAAATGCAGAAACAGAGAGAAGGGAGATGGGGAGATAGTCTGTTGAATACCGAATGACACAGCCAAAGATGTGAAAAGTGATGGCGGTAGCACCAGCAAACAGCTCAACTACTATCTCACTAGAGGATCTGAGCCAGAACCATGCAGCTAAGCTGCCCCTGGAGAAGCTCTTAGAAGGTAACTATTTGTTGTTTTGAACTGATAAATTTTGGACGGATTTGTTATGTAATAGTAGATAACAAATACAATTGGTAGCATAGATTTGAAGAAAATATAGGGTCTTTGCCTTTGAATATTTTGAAATCAAGACAGGAATGATATATGCGAAAAACAACCATGGATAATGTGATAAATGCCATAATTGGGGCATGTTATCAGTGAGTCAAATAATATTTAGGAGCAAAACTCAGACATTCCATTCCTATCACTAGAAGCTGGCATATATTCTACCGAACAAAGAATTATCTGCCCCTAACAAAAAATTTCTACTTTTTGAAAATCTAAAAGGACTCTTGCCCAGGGAAGTCCAGGCAATACAGAGATAAAATGGGGAAGAGGAAGAAGAGCAGGAAGCCCAAAGAGGATCACTGACATTTATTAGTGTCTTATTTATTAGTTCTTTATGCACATGGAGTTATTCGATGTTCACACCAATTGTATGATTTAGGTATAGTTTTCTTTATTCTATGAATTGGCACCTGAGACCCAGAAAGTGGTGGAACTAGAATTTAAATAATGGGCTATTAGTGGCTGGGGATGTGGCTCAAGTGGTAGCGCGCTCGCCTGGCATGAGTGCTGCCCGGGTCCGATCCTCAGCACCACATACAAAACAAAGATGTTGTGTCCGCCGATAACTGGAAAAAAAAATTAAAATTCTCTCTCTCTCTCTCACTCTCTCTAAAAAAATGTAAAAAAAAAAATAATAATGGGCTATTAGCTACAAAAGCTTATTTTTATTCTACTTCATCATAGGACAGTTTTGAAGTCTTATAAGGCATTTGGCAAAGTTTACTGCTATGAATATGCTAAAGATCAGAGACCTGAATTTTCTTACTAATCAATAGCCAACAGACAGCTTTTACAGTTTCATAGAAGTTGGGAAAAATATTTCAGGAAGGGTCAGAAATTAAATAATGAGTAAAAGTAATCTAGCCAGTAGGCTTTCCTCTCCTTAGTGCCCTAATTTTATAGACAAACAATACTTTTCCATCTTATTTAACTTTCTTGAAGTACTCTGAATGGAAATGTTCACTGACTGTCATTTTTAGCTTGATAGTTATGATTATGTCCTAATTTTAAAAATACCCTGAGTAATTTAGAATAAGCACAGGATATTTCTCTTAAAAAATATCAGTAGCTGACACTTCTTTGAGCATATAAATTTCAGCATCACTTTTATTCGTAATGATCTAAAATTCTGTAAAATTAGACTTGCAAAGCTGAGCTGAAAGGAAAATAGTTATTATCAGGTGAGAAATGGTTGGAAGTTGGCCCAGATAATTGTATTGCTAGAGTAGAGAACTATTCAGTTATTTTTAAAATCCATTTTGTGCTGCTTGAACATAGTAGCAAAACCTAGGTAACTTACAATGAATAGAAATTTATTGGCTCACAGTTCTGGAGGCTGGGAAGTGTCACATTAAGGTGCTGGCTTTTGGCGAGGATCTTCTTGGTGTGTCATGACATGGTGGAAGGCATCATGTAGTAGAAGGGCAAAGTTAACCAGGGGACCAAATCCTGCCTTTTATGCCAGCATCAATCTCACCTGTGAAGGCAGAGTCAATCATCTCTTAAAGTTCTTACCCCTTAACACTATTACAATGGTAACTGAATTTCAGCATGAGCTCCGGAGGGGACACACATTCAAACTACAGCACTTTTGTGCCTTGAGAGATACTGAAAATATCACCCCTCCCAAATGGATCCTTCATTGTGTTTTCCTACAATTGCTATGATTGGAGTTGGTCTTTTTTGTGTTTCTGCAAGGCTTAATCCTAAATGGCCATGGGAAAGAATGACATGATCAGAAAACAAAATAACAACTAAAAAACACAGACCCAGGGATTTCCAGTATGAATAAATCTCTGTGTGTAAGCCTCTTTTATGTCTTCTGGAAAATGTTACAAAATCTTCAAGAAAAATGAAAATATACCACATATTCTATCTTCAGTGAAAGTAAGGAGGCAAATAAGACCCATAGACTGTAAAATTAAAAAGCAACTGAGAGGGGCGACCACTGGGGAAAAGAAAAGGAAGGAAAAAGCAGGGTCCTGCTGTTTTTGCTAAGCAAATGCTCCAGCATTGAGCTATATTTCTAGCCTTCTGGTCCTGCTGTTTTAAAAGAGATTTGCATTGATTTTGTGATGTGGTTGAGGGAATAACTTAAATGCAAAGGAACTAGGAGCAATTTAGCAATGTGAAAAATGTGAAATCAAGAGTAAATGTAAAATGTTTAGCAAACAAATGTGGTGTGGGCATAAGCCAATGGCCAGGGACACTTGAGTGGGTGTTGGGTCTCTACTCTATGCCAGTTAACCCTTTGGTGGCTGCTGTTCCTGGGGGTTTTCAAGGGAGAGACTGAGATGAGCAGGATAGCCTTGTGGATTATCTAAATAGCTCAGAGCTAATGCTAGTTTCCTGTTGAAATATCCTGAAGTTTTAACAAAGTATGAGTACTGATTGAAACTCAGCTCAGAGTATAATCTAGATAAAACTTGGCCCAAATTTTCTTTGAATTAGGCTTAAGATGGCACTTTGGGCCCAGGCTGTAGATCAGTGATAGAATGCATGCTTAGCTTGTATAAGGTCCTGGGTTCAATTCCAAGCACAAAGAACAAAACAAAACAAAATATGGCATTTTGCCTACGCTTTCTTTGCATTTGGCACTAGGGAGTCTATAAAATCTCCCAGATGTCTGTAATTCACACTAGATATATTTAGTGGCTATAGGAGATGAAAATTCTGAAGAAAAGAACAAGGACTAGAGTGGTCTAGACTGATATTTTAAAACTCTGGCTCCAATACCGTTTTCAAACATAAATCAGTTGTATAAATTAATTTACTCTGTTTTTGTATACCAGGTTTTGAAGGTAAAAATCACAAGATATTGTTTCTTAGAAGTGTGATCAACTAATGCTTGCCACATATATCAAACAGAAAAATATCAAAATACAGGTAAGCTGAATACCAAAATCTGGGTTGATTTTCCCCCCCATTTTTAGTTAAAGGGAAATAATCTGTAATTCTGAGGACATAAATAGGTCATGGTCTTTCTTCTAACAAATAACTTGATATTTCTCTGCTTTCAATATGTATAACCAATTCTGAAGGAGATTCTACGAATCTATAATTCTGTCAAGCTGATTTCATTGTATCATGTGTCTTCAATGCACAAAAATTTCAGTCATATTTGCATGCTATTTAAATTACTTCTTTTTTTTTTATTTCTGAATTTAGGCAAATTATTCCATTTTAATAAGAGATATTTTGTTATTTGCAGCACACAATCAATCACATCTGTTGACCATTTCATGAAAACATGAACAATGTTTAAGTATATAGAATTATACTGTTGTAGGGACGGACAAGGCAAGGCACCTAAGATAGCACCGAAGTAAATTACTTCTTGTGTACCTTTTTATGATTTTACTCTCCTGCATTTTACCTAATATTATTATGAAAAAAAATTACCAAAAACTTGTAAGAAAGGCAAAAAAAAAAAAAGAAAGAAAGAAAAAAGAAATTTGTGGATCCTATATTTCCATTGTCAGATGATACTCTATCCTAGACCAAATTTTGGAAAGTATTTTCCTTTTGGAAAGTATTTGCCAGATAGCAAATATTTTGGACTGTGTAGGTCATTTAGTTTCTGTTTCCTTTGACTTCTTTAGCAAATATTTTGGACTGTGTAGGTCATGTAGTTTCTGTTTCCTTTGACTTTTTTTTTAATTTGTGGCACTGGGAATTGAATCTATGGGTGCTCTACCACTGAGCCACAGCCCTTTTTAGTTTCTATTTTGAGACATATCTCCTGCTAAATTGCCCAGGCTGGTCTTGAATTTGCAATCTTTCAATCTCAACCTCCTGAATGGCTGGGATTACAGGCATGTACCATGGCACCTATATGTAGCCTTTGACTTTTAAAATCAACTCGAGGCATTTAAATGATCCGGCTAAGAAATGAGGAAAAAATACACAAATGTGATAAAGAAGCCAGGGGTACCTGGAAGCAGTGATGTAAGTCTAATTCCAACTACTGCACAGTCTGGGGCAGGAGGATTGCAAGTTCAAGGCCAGCCTGGGCAATTTAGCAAGACTCTGTCTCCAAAACTAAAATAAAAAGGGCTGGAGATATATCTCAGTGGTAGAGTGCCCTGGGGTCAATCCTTGTATTTCACACCCCCACCCTCAACAATACAAAGAAGCCATGGGTCCCCTTAGCATTTAACATGTGGTTTTATGTTTGGTGGTAGTAGAAAGTATACAGCATGGGTTTCCAATTCTTATAAAGTAAACCTCTTGCCTCATTTTCTATCTTCTGGTAGCACTTATCTCAAGATGGTAGGTGTTTTGCTCACTAGAAGTTGTCAGCACACTTCTCTGATGTTGCCTTTTAATATGTGAAAATGAAACAGATTTAAAGTAACTTTTCAGTGTAAATTAAATCCATCCTTTAAATATTCCTCCCATAGCCCCCCAAAAATCCTTCAAAGGAATTTGATAATTCCAACTTGTTTTCTCCCCCTTTGGTTCATGACAATGACCATACTGCTTTGGGGAGAGGCAAAACCTTTGAAGGACAGCTGAGTTCATGCCAATCAGCAGGCAGAGGCAAACTGAAATGGATTTTCTTTCACTTTGGACTAGATGGTGTAGTGTCAAGCTGAAAAATATTATTCATGGTTTTTTCTACTGTGTAATACTTGAAAGTCAAACTGGATGTCAGAGATAAAAATGTCATGCAGATCATAACTAGGTTCCCGTGGGTTTGCTGGAGGTACACTCAGTTGAGACTTTTGACTGAAGTACAGGGAGGTCAGTTCAGCTCTGCTGTTCCCCAACCATTCCCTGCTATTCCTCACTACAAAAGAGTAATTCACTTTATTGTGTCCAGTTGAAACTCAAGTAAAACTAATATTCAGCTGGGCTTTTCCAACCTTGAAGACAGCAAAGTTAGGAACATATTAAAGGTTCAATTTTTTTTTTCTAGAAAAGATAACTCATGACTCATATAAATGTTAAATAGACATATCAAAGATTTTATTTAATTCATATACTAATGATGGAACTAGGAAAATGATATAAACAGTTTTAAGGAGAATTAAAACAGAAAACATACATGTAGGCTATCAGAAATGTTGAAATGAATTTGAATTTGCTTAATTGATATCAAAATAACTTCTTCCACAGAACTGGAGGGAAGTACAAAGACAAAGCATATTTGTGGATGAGAATCATCTATATTTCTTTTCTTTAAATAGCAGTATATGCCAGGTGTGTGGTGTGCACCTGTAATTCCAGTGACTGGGGGGAAGAAGTAGGAGCTTTGCAAGTTAGAAGCCAGCCTGGGCGACTTAGGGAGACCCTGTCTCAAAATAAAAAAATTAAAAGGGCTGGGGATGTACTTCAATGATAAAGTACTCCTGGGTCAACTCCACAAATCAATACATAAATTGATTAATTAACAAATACCAGCGTTGTTTGTAATTGTTGAAATATATAAGCAGCCCAGATGTTTATTAATTGATAAATGGGCAAACAAAATATGCTATATCCACACAGTGGAACACACTCAGACTTAAAAAGGAATGAGTATTTGCTTTTGCTATAATATGGATGAACTTTGGAAATACTGTGCTACATCAAAAGAACCAGATGCAAAAGGCTATATATTGTATGATTCCATTTTTTATGAATTGTTGAGAATAGGCCATTCCATATAAGCAGAAAGTAAATCAGTGGTTAGAAAGAGCTGAGAGGAAGGTGAAAAGATTGTGACAATTAATGAATATGAGGTTTCTTTGGGATAGATGAAAATGTTGTGGAATTAAATAGTGGTAATTGCATGATTTTGAATCTCTTGCATGTTTTTCAGTTACTTAACAATTTACAGAATTGCAAAGAACCCAAATAAAGTGAAATGTGTAGAGATGGCATAAGATTCCATCACCTGGAAAAGTATGTTAGACAATGCCCAGTTTTCCATTGGAAACATCCTGTAGGTTTTTGGTTTAATGCGTTTTAGTCCTTTGCAATTTTCTCCTACAGAAGAACCTTACTAAAATTATGTTTGTATCTCTAGGGTTACATAAAACCCCAAAGGCAATAGTGTTCTCCTCCTGCATCTGTTTGCCAAAAACAATCAAAATAGAACAACAGATGGATTGAGTAGCAGGCACTTGAAAGCTGGAGAAATCAAATGGAAGGAAAAGTAAGCTTTAAAATACCGTTTGCTTAATCATTGCCCTTACAGCTTATTATTTTGCATTCTACATTGTGGAAGATTTTAAGAGAAAACTATGAAATCGTGCCTTCTTAACCTCTCTATTTTCATGTTTACAACCTTTTCACCATGTTGGAATGTCAGGGAAAGCACCCTGAATCAAAAGCCTTGGAGTATGATGTGAAAGTCATGTGACAGGTTTTCCTGGAAGGATGAAGACTCACCACGCTCTATTCTACCTGTCATGCCTTCCTAATACCGATCTTTTGCTATTTCTGCTCCCTGAATAGGGGTAGCAGAATAGGGACAACACCCAGAATAGTGATCCCAGAATTTTTTCTTACTCATTTATTCTCCAAAATTTCCCATTCAGGCTATTTCTTCCCCTTACGTTCCCTTTTATCTTTTTTCTTCTCATGAAGATTAATTATATCTTCTTGACTTCTTTAAGTCTTCTCTTCTTCCACTAGGAGTCTTAGCACATCAGTGCCCTGGCAAGCAAACCAAGCAAATACTATTTTCATTTTCCATAGGAGGGCACAGAGAGGGCTATCACAGAATTTTTTAATTTGATATTTTCCTTCATGCCACATTTTATTTTAAACCTAGTGATGAAATATCTTTGTTATATACCTTGGAATAGAAATAGCTACACAGTATATCATTTTAAGTAGGTATACCATGAATGTGAATAATTTTGTTAGACCTTTTTTTGAAAAAAGGATTCCTATGCTTTTTTCTCAATGTCAATCAAGTTCCTCCCAGGACTCCCAAAATTCAACCAGAAGAAAGGATTGTATTAGTTTGCTGGGACTATCATAACAAAGTACCATTGACTGAGTTGCTCAAACAATAGGAAAATTTATTTTCTCACAATTCTGAAGGCTGGAAGTCTGATCTCACATAGTTGGCAAGGGTTGTTTCTGAATCTTCTACTCAATTTGTAGATGGCTATTTTCTCCTTGTTTATATCTGTGTCCTGACTGCTCTACTTATTAAGGACATCAGTCATATTGGACAAGGATCCACGCTATCAAACTCATTTTTACCATAGTTAGAAATTCAATGTGTGAATTTTAAGGGTACTCAATTCAATGCACAACAAGGAATGTCCTCTTCATTTTAATAGAAGAATGAAAGTACTCAAAGAGTAAGTTACTTTTGAACCATCTGCCAAGGTATGTAGCCAGCACCTCTAACTGATAACACATACTATGGTTCCCTTTAAGTCATTCTTAGCAGTAAGAATTTTTCTGGTACAGACCTTCTTGTGGTTTCAAAGTTGGCATTATAGAATAAGCTTGAAAAAATGCAGTGCTTTTATTGTTTTCTTTAAAGACATAAATTATGGACATATGATAACATGATAAATATTCTTTTATGATTCAAGGTGCTCATGGTTTATTTAAATATTAATATAAAAGCATCATAAGTATTTCTGTGTTTTTTTAAAACAAATTTTTAGAAAGATAATTTATAGATGATAAAGTTCACAAATTTAAAGTGTACAATAATTAGGGGCAGGGAGTGTGACTCAGTGGTAGAGTTGCCTTGCATGCACAAGGCCCTGGGTTCCATGCCTAGCACTGAAGGAAAAAAGTATGTAAAGATCTTAAGTGTGGGTACAATTGTGTGAAGAACTAATCTGTACTCTGCATGTAGATTAACTATAATCTCTGTGATAACTCTTCAAGGTTGACATTATTGGCATTTATCGCTAAGTACGAGACTCAGAAATGTGAATAACTTTCTCAAATTCTCATAGGTGATAAAGGAACTGATCATTTAGACCCAGGTGTGTCCAGCTCTAAAACCAGTGCCCTGTACCACTCAGCCCCTCTATTCCCACTTTTAAATAGGTAAAACATATTTAATATATAAATATTAAAAGGCACAAATACAGAAAATGAAAATAAAAATTACATGGAATCCCATTACTCAGAGTTAACCACCTATAATCATTTTTGCATGCTCTTATAGTTTTTTTTAAACCTGTTCATATGTATCAAGTGGGTATATCTTAGTCCATTCTGTCTGTTATAACAAAAGTACCATGGGCTGGGTGGCTTAAACAACAAACATCATTTCCCATAGTTCTGGAGGTCAGTGAGTCCAAGACCAAGGCAAGCAGATTCTGTTTTGTGGTGCCTACCTCCCAGCTCAAACATGGCCTTTTTCACTCTGTGTCTTCGAGTGGTGAAAATGATGGGAGATCTCTGGGAGTCTCTTTTTCTGAATTAATCCCATTCATGGGGGATGCATCCTCACAACCTAATTACCTTCCAAAGAATCCACTTCTTAATACCAATGCACTGGGGGTTCGAATTTCACATATGAATTTGGGGGAACATGAACATTCAGCCCATTCATAGTATGAGAAATGCCATTCTTTTTTCAATTCAATTGTATGAGAAATGCCATTCTTTTTTACATGCTTCAGATGAAACTAAATCTGTCTGTGATCCCCATATCACTAGGTTGTCAGGAGATTATATTCTTGTAAGCATTAGGCTCTTGGCTTTCCCTAGAGTGGAAAAGAAAAATAAGAGACTTTGCACTGCTTGGAAAGTAGGAAAAAGTCTTTGATCTTCAAACCAGTACGGCAACCTTCATCACAATGTAAATGTACAGTGGTTCAGGAGGGCAGGAACTTGACTCTTCAAGGTCCAGAAAAATATAGAGAATTTTGTTGGGTGCTTATTTTGAGCTTACCTCTGAGGTCCTGTCACCACCTAAAGGGGCTGTGAGGTATGGGCCTGTGTCCTCCATTCCACTGTGGGTCTCTCTGCTTTATCTGCCTATCATTTTCTTTCTTTCCTACAATTCCTTCTCATAGTATAATCCCCTTTGCTCATGTTTTATAAACAAAAACAAGAGCTAGGAAGGGAAATGTTTATAGTTTTGAAAAAAAAAAAAAGAAAGGACTTGGCCTTTGAAAAATGTTTCCCGTTTGTTTATTCTGATTATTATTTAATGAATCAGGATCACATTCTATCTCCTGTTTTTATCCAGTCTGAAAAATCTTTGTATTTTTTAATTAGTTATTTTCCTTATAGTTAAAATTTAAGATTATTTATTGTAGTTTGGACACAAATCCTTTATTAGATAGGTGTTTTGTAATTATTTTCTCCCACCCTATCTTCCTGTCTCTTAACAGTGACTTTTGCAGAGCAGAATTTTAAAATTTTAATAAAGTTCAATATATCAGGTTTTGCTTTTATAGATTGTGCTTTCGGCCTCGATATAAAAATTCATCTCCTAAACTAAGGTTATATAAAATTTCTCCAATTTCTTGTAGAAGTTTTGTAGTTTTGCATTTTACACGTAGGTCTATAATCCATTTTCAATCAATTTTTTTTTTGTGAAAGGTATATAGTCCATAAAACCTTTTGTTAAAAAGGAGTATCCTTTTCCCATTGAGTTTTTTTTTTTTAATTGAATTGTCTTTAAGCCTTTTTCAAAGATAAGTTGATGATATGTGTGTCTATTTCTAGAGTCTCTATTCTGTTCCACTGTTCTGTGTTCATTTCTTTCATGGGTACCATGGTGTCTTGATTATTGTAGCTTTAGAGTAAGTCTTGAAATTGGATAGTTTAAATTCTTCAACTCTGTTTTCTGTTCTTGTGTCAATTATTCTAGGTCTTTTGGTTTTCTATGTATCCTTTAGAATCAATTTATTGTTATCTATAAAATAGGTGCTGGGGTTTTTACTGGAATAGCATTGATTCTATAGATGTGATTGAGAAGAACTGGTATCTCTGGCTGGAATTGTCAATCAATCATTGATGAGAATTGGTTAATAAATGCACAAGCCTCTCTAGCCTTCAGGTGGAGGGCTTTTTTCATGTTTTATCACATCTCCCAGAAATCCTCAGTAATATAAAGCACTAGATGCCCACAAGCATAACTTTATTAGCTGTATTCTCTCCCCTGATCATTATCCCCACTCCCCGTACCAATGTTTCCTGGAATCACTTCCCAAATTAACTATTTGTATTCAAAACCTTGGCTTAGGGCTTATTTCTGGGGGAATCTAAACTAAGACTTGTTACAGCACTGGTACAGGTAAAGCATCCCTAATAGAAAAATTTCAATGCTCAAAATATAAAACTTCTTAAGCACTGACATGACCCCATAAGTGGACAACTCCTCACATGATCGATCTCATGGGATAAGTCATGTCAAACCGGGTATACTAAAAATATTGTACTATAAAATTACTGTGTGTATAAGGCTTATGTGAAACAAATGAGTTTTGTGATTAAACTTGAGTCCCATCACCAAGATTTCTCATTATTATATGCAAGTATTTAAAAAATATAAAATCCCAAACACTTTTGGTCCAAGCATTTTGGATAAAGAGATACTCAACTTTTATACCTAAAGGCAGGGTCAAGTAGGATAACTCTATTTCCTAAATATACCCACTTTCCAAATTAGGACCAGTCCTAATCTATCTATCTATCTATCTATCTACCTACCTACCTATCTATCTATCTATAGAAAACACAGTCAACAAATTTGGGTATTCAAATTCATTCTTTAAGAGTTATAATGCAAACACTCCTCAAGTCTGATATCTTTCCAGAAGGGGAAAAAAGGATAAAAATGAAATACTCTAATTTCTATAAGCATGCATGTACATCAAAAATCTTTCTCAAAATAGCTAAAATGGTAAAAGATGTGTGTATTTCAAAGTCAAAAGATTTGGATACGCCTCAGGCAGCTTTTAGATTCTAATTTTCAGGTTAGAAAATTAGAAATGCAAAGGAATGCTGTGGTTTCAGTGTCAGCCATTTTTTTTCATAATTGTGTAGTACAAAGGTTTCTAGGGAGGGAGGGTGGGTGGGGGTGAAAAGTTAGGATGCAAAGAGAACTGGCCCAACTATCTGTCTTTATTTTTAACAGCCTTCGAAGATAGTCATGCTTGCTGAGTACTCCAAAAGTACCAGGCATTTGTTGGGGGAAAATCCTCTGGGAATGCAGCCCTTGAGAGTAGAAAATGGCTTCATAAAGAAATGATGCAAACACTGAATTTTGCCCTGCCAGAAACTCCTCTCTCTCTCTCTTTTTTGTTTTTTTTGCAACTGCAGAATGAAATATGCACTAGACCAAAGCCTCAGTCAGCTGCAAAAACAATGTGTTGTAATCTGATATTTATTTTTGCTGAAATGGAGCTGTGGCCCTGCCATTTCAGATTCTGCAGTCTTGCAAAACACCCAGAGAGCCTTTGCTGCCCCTGGGAGAGTGCAGAAAGCTAATGAAACATCCTCACTTAAGAAATACAATTTTTCTTCAAGAACACAAGCCAGAACTGGATGAGATTCCACCCAGATTTGAGGGGGAAAGACAAAAAATAAATTAATTAGGCTTACCAGACAACCTGTAAAAAGTGTAATATCAACCACTTATTATGATATGATATCAGCTGACACTTGCTCCACTTTCCGTGGGAGGAATCGGATTGGAGCTGCTGACCAAGGAAGAAGTGCTTTGCTGTCCTATCCCACACACCCAAATGATTTAAATCTAGTCTCTGGAGAGACCTTACATCAGAAATAGAAATTTTATTTAGCTTTTCTAATCTATGAAAACATTACTTCAACATGGCTAAATTCAGTCACCACCATTTTTTTCTTTCCCTGTATCACTAAACTTCCCGAAAGAGAAATATTATTACATAATTTCACCACCTAATATTTCCTTAACTTTAAGATCTCCTGTCATAAAACACTTGAATGATGCTTATTCTTCTGAAGGTCACCTAAGAACCCACATTCTCCAATCCCAAGGTGTTTTTCAGTTTCAATGGATGATACCATTAGATATCCCTTACTCTCCTCTCCCTGCATTTTGAAGCTTTGTGTTTCCTTGCTTTTTGTAGAAACGGTGCTGGAAGTTTCTTCTGTTTCTTTCTTGTGTATCTTCCTGTTTTTTCTTTGTGGTCATTCTCCAACATTCTTTTTTCCAACCTCCCATTCTTTATACTATTTTTCTCAACAATTCCAATATTTTCAGTCACCATTTTCTGATGGCTGAAGCTTCAAAAGCAATCTTAAGTTATGAAGTACCCTTGAGGATGGAATTTTCTAGTAAAAGCTCCTGAAGCAGGACCTTCCAAGGAACTTGGCTCCCTGATGAATTCATGAAGCCACCACATCTGTTCTGCACTGCCTCTGCTTGATTTCTTCTATATACTAGAAAAACTTTTATGCTGAAGCCATTCTTACTATGGGTCAGGTATCTAGTTCAGTGCCAGGCATAGCCTATGTGGTCAGAATATTATAGTTATTATTATAAACCCTATGCCTGTATTCCTAACTATAGTATAGTGAGTGCATCAACTATGTCCAAAGCAAAGTCCTCAAACCAACTCCCTATCCCCTGCTCTTTGGTTTATAACATGACTAATCTCCTATTAATTGAGGTGTTGATTCTCCCCATTTTTTCCCTCTTGATATTGAGTCAGTTGCTAAATTCTTTCGATCGAGTCCTGCTATGATTCACCAATGAATTTTTATATTAAAACATTTTCCATCATCTGTACATTTCCTCTACAAACTCCTCAGTTTCATTGTCACCTACCTAAATCCAGTTGTAACTCAGTTATTTCTCCATTTCCTGTGTATCTTCTTCTTGCAAGTTATTCTATAGAAACCTTGAGGCATCTTTCCAGAGCGTTGCTCTAATCATCAAAACAGAACTGAGAGTTGTGTGAACACATAACATAAATCCTCACTTTGTGCTTGAGATGCCAGCCTGTCTTCAGACTCTGACCTCTGTATCTTTTCATGTCATTCAAACTAGACTCTTCTACTTGCCTGTTTTCTGAATTCTGTTGCTTGACTCATGTTTCACTCACCCAGTATGTCCTTATACTCTGTCCACTCCCTACATTTCAGTATCTTAAATAACCTTCCCAGCTTCATGGGAATTCTGTCACCCCAGGACCTCCTTCCAAAATGGATGTTATTTTTCCTTTACTTTTTTCTCTCTTGACCCATTTGTTCAGCATGCTTTTTTTACAACAGGAATCTCAAATTTTAGGGAACATCAGAGTCATCTGGGAGACTTATGAAAAAACACAAGGTTGCTAGCCTCACTCTCAGAGATACTGCTTCAGAAAGTCTGGGGTGGAGCCTGAGAATTTACATTTTCCACAGGGTCCCAGGTGATGCTGCTGCTGCTGATCTGATGATCATATATTTAGAACTGCTTATAAATATTTCAATCTTGTTCTCACTCTACATGGTAAATGTCTCAAGATCAGAGAATGTGTTTTGTTTTTTTTCTTTGCATTCTCTGTTGCTCCCAACACAGATTAGACACTTAATAAGCATTTATTAAAATAGAATAGCACAGAAGGCCAAATAATTGCTTTTTTGCTTGGTGCTAACCCTTTGGAGTTATGTTTAATTGTTTCTTTCTAGAAATCAGAAGAACACATTTAAGTGCTTTTGCTGAGAGCATGGCCAAATCCTTCCTCGTGTGGCTGTTATTCTTGGTTTGGGGATGTGCATGCATAGCATGTATGAGGAGGGTGGTAAGTACTGAAGGCAGTGGCATGATTTGAATCCAGGGGAAGCAAGAGTTGAAGGGCTCCCCCAAAGGAAGAGGATGACAGAAGTTCAGCATTTGGAAATGAAATACAAAGGTTGCCATAGTAAGCTAACAACAGATTTCAAATCTATAATTTTACCTGGAGAGAGTCATGTTAGAGTCCCCTCTGAGTATTTTTGTTCCCTCTTATGCTTTAAATGCTTCAGAAACAAGTCACTCTGAATTTAAGTTGTGCTCCTAATTACCCTTATTATTATTCTCAGAATGTTCTTCAGAAGTAACGTGGTTTGTAGGAAAGAAAATTAATTGTAGCTCTTCTTGGTTTGGAAATGCAGGCAACTGCATACTCTGGCAAATTCATGTCTTGTTTTCCTCCTGTGTGAAGATAACAGAATTTCTCTTTCTACTTGTTTTTCTTGGGATCCCTTTGGGATTTGTTTTTTCCAGATGGGTGAGACAGAATTTTGCATATGGAAATTGTTTTTGAAATCACAAGAAAGTCAAGAGCAAGTCAGCCAGAGAAACAAAAACACCACAGCCATCCCCTTGAAGACTTTTGTTCCTGGCTTTTAATAGTTTATATCATGCTTCTCATAAAGTGAATGCTATGAAATTTAAGGAAGGAATGTGGAAATCATTACAATAAAAGATGTATGTCAAATATGGATATTTTTTATTTTAAGAAAGCAATTCAATTATACCCAGATGGAACATTTGAGAAGTCGCAGCTCTGCATCATCATTTTCCAGCAGCAGCACAGATGGTACCTTTCCATTCGTAACATGTGCCAACATAGTCGGTGTGTCCCAGTGGTCGGCCCCACCTCCACCACAATTCCAAGTTCATAAGGAAGAGGGCACATTGGGTAAGTCAGAGACCCTTGGGACACTGCACTGCCTTGGGCCCTGGCACTACTATTTTATAATGTTTCTTTCTTGAAGGAAGCAGATAGGATTGCCAGACCATGACTTCTATCTACTGTTGAGTCAGGCCCCCAAGGCTTCCTGCCTCTTCCCAGAGACAGGCCACAGATCCACAACCATAGAGAGAGCCAGGCAACATCTGCAGGCCTTCTGTTAAAAGCCCTTGTTGTTTAAATATTCTGTTTCCTTGCTATTTATCTTTCTAGAAATTGGGGAGATGCTTATCTCTTCTTGTCCCAAATAAAGTAAAAATCATATTGATGTCATCAAGGGCCCACAGTTTGTGTCATGAGTTTTAAAAAAATCCCCCCCCCCCAAAATAGAGTGAAAACATACCACCCCACCCCACCTCCAGCACCATCACCTTCACCTGACTGTCAGAATGAGTTGCATGGGGAAAGTAGCAGAACTTGTTCCTCTAGAAGTTTCTATGGGCTTATTGGAGCAGCACACCTACAGAAGACACCAAGTAACTTATTATTGGGAAGCATTTATAATTGGATTTAAGGGGAACTAAACAGAGAATTAAATCATCTATCATCCATTTCATGCAGGACTGAAATTTCTGATTCATTGTGATAAAACTGTTCAGAGAGTAGAGAGTTCCTAATTTTGGCATACCACAGAGCCCTAAATTCACATTAATTCTTGACTTCCTAAGCTGGCTGACTTTATTGAGAGTTACAGCGTTTATTTGCAACATTCCACAACTGTGTAAATGTCTGTGGTCTGCTGTCCTTGGCTGTCACTGTCAAGGAGATTTCCGTTCTTCGGAAAGCACTGTCTTCCTGTTCTGTGTTTTGTTTTTGTGGTATTGAGAATTGAGCTCAGCACCTTGTACATGCTAGTCAATTGCTCTACTAAGTTATATCTTTAGCTCTTTCTTTCTACTCTTTAGCTCTTCCTGTGTCCACGCCCTTTGCCACATGGCTTTGCAGCTATCCATAAAGATGGAGCCAATTTTTCTGCCTTGGTTCTGATCTCACCAAGTGACTTGGTCTGGCCAGTAGGACATTAGCAGATGTGATTTAAGCAGAAACTTGGGAAACAGTTTGCTCATTTCCACTGCAGTTTGTACCCCTGTTGTCCTCAATAGCAAGTGCCCAGGCTTTTAGGCCAGAGAATGAGACACATGGAACATGGAGCAAGGCTAACTTGTTCCATTTGTTCTAGGAATGGCAGTCTAAATGAACTACCAGCCATTTGACTCTGAGACCAATACTGTCTTTCAATCCATGGCCAAATTCTGGTTTTTATCTCCTTTGCAATTCTCAAGTTTGCCTACTTCTCTTTACCTTCATAGGTGGGCTCTTGATTTCAGCATGACTTTTAACTTATTTGGGATAAGTATTGATGTCATGAAGAAGGGATAAAAGCTGGGTGCAGTGGAATACGCCTGTAATCCCAGTGGCTTGGGAGGCCAAGGCAGGAGGATCACAAGTTCAAAGCCAGTCTCAGCAAGAACATGGCACTAAGCAACTCAGTGAGGCACTATCTCTAAATAAAATATAAAAGAGGGCTGGGGATGTGGCTCATTGGTCAAGTGCCCCTGAGTTCAATCCTGGGTTCCTCCCCCCACTCCAAAAAGGAATAAGCATCTCCCAATTTCTAGGAAAATAAATAGTAAGGAAATAGGATGTTTAAACAAACAAGGGCTTTTAATGGAAGGTCTGCAGATATAAGCCTAACTTATCCATAAGATTGCACAGTATTCCTTTGAATGGATCTATTATAACTTACTGAGACAGTGTGTGCTAGAACTAGGTGTTGTCTAGTTCTAGTTTTATTGATGAAGAGAAAGAGGATGAAGATGATAAATAGTTTGCTCATTCAGCCAATGTTCAACTTGGGCTCTGAGTTCCAGTGGTGGACTGGGATAGCTTGAACCTAAAGCAGCACTCCATGGCATGAACCTGGTTGATGCTTTTTTTTGGGGGGGGTTAGTTCCTGTTGGTTCTTCACTTTCTTTTTTTTGCTGTTTCACTTTTTTTATCTGTAATTTTCTGTTGTCCATCCTCTTTCCAATTGATCTGTCTCTCAACAAACTGAATGAGATGATACGTGTCATTGGCTTTCAAGCATTGACATCCACGAAGTTACCCAGAGATCTTGCAAACACACAGATTCCTGGAGCTCCCCCAGAGACTCATTCAACAGATCTTGGGTGGAAGCAGGAATTCAGCATTTCTACCAAGTTCTCAAATGAGATGCTACTAGTCCATGGACCACACTTTGAATATATGACATGCTTTATAAATGCTAGCGTCCACATAAACTAAAGAGCATGTGAGTTTAAGCCTAGATTGAGCTCCTTCTGAATACTAGCTATAATGACAGGTATTATGGAAAGAAAACAGTGACATCATGTGAAGTCCCATCCATGAGGACTTGAAAATTTAGTGAAAACAAAGTGTGTATTACAAAAATATAAGTTTTCAGTGCAAGAAAGGATGATATAAATGCCAAAGCAATAGTCTCTAATTAGAAACCTGTTCTGGGGAAGTAAAACTGTACTTAGCACAGACCATTAGATTTGGGACATCTGTTTATTGAATATTAATTTTGTTCATAAAATGTTCTTCTCTCTCTTTAGTGTGTGCAGAATTAACATTCTCCCAGAATTCATTGATGACTTATTTGAATCTCAGCTTGCTGACCCATCTCTTAGCTAAGATTGTCTCAAGGGCTGCATCATCAGAAATGGGGGTAGTTGAGGGTCAGTTTCCCTACCCAGAGCCGGAGAGAAGGATTCTTGTGTGATTTATTTAGGGAGTGCTCTCAGAAGAAGTATGAAACGGGACGAGGGAAACAGGACAGGGCAGAAACAGGAGCAGAACAAGGAAGTGGTCTCAGCTGTCGCCTTGGCCTAATCACCGGGAGCTCTGGAGCATGAATGGCAAAAAAAGCTGTCCCATTTGGTCCCCAATATCAGTTAGTCATTGATGATAGATTGCCCTGGGTAGGGGAGTGGGCAGCAGCATCTCCTGGGTGAGTCAGCTCTGACAGGCACTGGCTTTTCCAAGAGGAACTTATAAGCCAAGGGACCTCTCCACTGTGTCACTAGCTTTCTGCCCCCCTCCGCCCATTTTTACCCCAATTCTCAGTCTCTGTAAGAACTCGTCTTCTCTCTCTCTCTCTCTCTTTGCTGTATTGGGGGTTGAACTCAGGGCGGTGTGCATCTTGTGCATGCTAGGCAAGTGCTCTATCACTGAGCTATATCCTCAGCCCTTTGTATTTTATATTTTGAAATAGGGTCTCCCTAAGTTGCTCAGGGTGGTCTTGAACTTGGAATCCTCCTGCCTTGGCCTCTGAAATGGCTGGGTATTACCATGCCTAATTTATTTCTCTTTTGTTTAGCAAGATGTCATATGTATATATAATAGTATACTATTTATATACTTGTGTAGTCCTCTCAGGGCTTTAACCCCTCTGTCTAAATCCTATGGCATTATGATTTGATGACAAAGTCTGACCAAGTGGCTACAGGGAGAGTCCTAGCTCTCTCCTTTTGGTACTACCTATCTTCATTTTACTTGTGGTCTTCTAAAGTCAACTCCTGGGGTAGGATTTAGTAGCCAGCCTTAGTTTAGTCTTCTACCCTACTTCATGCTTCAGTTAGGGGAATCTCCAGTACAGAAACTCTGTCTCTTTCACTTAAAATCTTTAAGTATGTGCCATTGCCTTCCAAAGCAAGTCTACATTCCCTGTCCAGGTCTATAACATTTTCCGTGCTCTGATATTTTCCTCCTTCATCTTTCACCTCTCCTTAAGCTGGAAGAATGCTCAATGTCCACTCAACAAGAGCACTTGTGTGTCCAGGTCTTAGATTGTTCTTGTAGGCAGAGTATTGGCTGCCCGAGGATATTAGGTCCTGATTTTTGGACATTTATTGTTACCTTATAAGGAAAAAATGTCTTTAAAGATGTGATTGTTGGGCTGGGGATGTGGCTCAAGCGGTACTGCGCTCATCTGGCACGAGCAGGGCACTGGGTTTGATCCTCAGCACCACATAAAAATAAAATAAAGCTGTTGTGTCCACCGAAAACTAAAAAATAAATATTAAAAAATTCTCTCTCTCTCTTTAAAAAAAAAAGATGTGATTGTTGATAGTTTGAGATGGAGAGATTATTTTGGTTAATATGGGTGGGCCCTAAATTCGATTACAAATGTCATTATAAGACAGGGGCAGAAGGAAATTTGACACATAGGTGTCATTGAAGAGGTAGGCAGACCTTGGGGTGATGGGGTCACAAGTAAGGAATTCAGGCAGGCACCAGAAATTGGAAGAGGTAAGAAAGGTAAGAAAGATTCTCCCCTAGAACCTCTTGAGAGAACATGGTTCTGTCAACACTTTGATTTAGGACTTGGAGCATCTAGAATAGTAAGTGAATAAATTTCTGTTGTTTTTAAGCCCTTCCCCCCAACCTGCCTCCAGTTAGTGGTAACTTGTTACAGCAACCATAGAAAAACTAATACAGCTGTGCTTTTATCTCCTCCTGGAATTAACTGTTCCCACCACAAATATTCCATCAAGATGATTCTAATGTCAGCAGATCATATACTACCTCTTTTAGATCTCTCCTCCCACCACCTCTAGGCTCTGGTTAAAGCAGGAAGCTATCCTCTGTCTCTCATAATTCCTTGAACAAAATGCTCTACCATTGTTATACTGTCATATATTCTTTTGTATATGACTGTTTATTGATCAGGTTCCTCATTCAATCCCTAAAGGCCTTATTCATTTGTGTACCCTCTGGGCTGGGCACAATGCCACATAAAAGTCACTTCTTGGTATTTGTTTCCTGCCATGAAGGGGAGGTAGATGCTTCTGTCTAGTGGCTGAAGTTGGGACTCAGGGGCTCACAAGGCCTCACAGTACTGCAGATGGGTGGAGGCAGATGTTCTGCTGCGCAGTCTTTTCCCAAACCGTCCTGCAGCTTGG